GCCTCTTAACCGCCTACATTAAAATGGGAAACCAGATGATCAGAAACTAACCCAATCTGACACAACGGTTGAACCTCTTGGGCTTGCCAGCCGAGGATCTTGGTGCTTATGAAGAGCCAATCAACGGCTTCTGCTGGGATTATCGTCTCGGCTTTATCAAAATGAGAAATCAATGTATGATTTCATGCAATCCATCGGGAGCAGAGCCCTGCGCGAGGATTAATGGAAAGTGTCTTTGTAAATTACGCTCAAGAGGCACGTTGGAGGTCAATCTTCTCTAGCTTGAGTGTGTTGGACTCTTATCACCCAGCCCAGCAAGAAGGATTGCCACTACATATTCATGGGGGAAAGAGAGAGAGAAAATAAAAGAAAGAGAAGAGAGGGAGGAAGAAGAAAGAAAGAAAGAAAAGAAAGAAATAAATAAGAGAAAAGAGGGACAGGAGACATTGCCACTGACCCTGAACGTGTGGTTTCTGAACTTTCACCAAACACAAACTGCCCAACAAACAGGCAACCTGATGTGCTGCAGATGTTTTGGTCTTCAACATCCACCAGTTTCAGACAGAAGGGCCAATGACAAGGAATGCTGGACATTTCAATCCATAACACCTGAAATACTTCAGCTTGCTTACCTGTATCTTGGTTTAAGCAATGCATTAAGGCTTAAGCCATAACCCAGTTTTGTCTGGGGGGGGGGAGGAACAGGAAGAAGAAGAAGAAGAAGAAGAAGAAGAAGAAAAGAAGAAGAAGAAGAAGAAGAAGAAGAAGAAGAAGAAGAAGAAGAAGAAGAAGAAGAAGAAGAAGAAGAAGAAGAAGAAGAAGAAGAAGAGGAGGAGAAGAAGAGATAGAGAAGGAGGAGGAGGAGAAGAAGAAGAAGTAGTAGTAGTAGTAGTAGTAGTAGTGGTAGAGGAGGAGAGGAAGAAGAAGAAGGAAGGAAGGAAGGAAAGAAGGAAGGAAAGAAAGAAAGAGAAAGAAAGAAAGAAAGAAAGAAAGAAAGAAAGAAAGAAAGAACTTGTGTATTGGAGCCTACCAAGGAGAGCAGTCTTGGTGCCAGAACTTCTATTGTTCGGCATTCCCGCTCTGATCCAAAAAACCAGCCCTCCCTTTAGCCTCCTTTAATGAAACTGCTCCGCGGGAGCCTGCGAATAACTCTATTCAGACAATTAGAGCAAAAAAGACGACAGGGTCTCCAGCCGTGCGGGAACCATCTGACAGGTTGGAAGGAGGAAGAAGGGAGCAGGGACGGGCTGGGCCTCTCCCAACACCTCCGGTGCACCGCTTGTCAGAACATCCACAGATGGAGTCGACAAAAGCCCGGCCTCCCTCTTCCTCCCACTCCGAGGGAGGAGAAAGCGCGGCAAAGCCTGATCCTGGGCACGGGCAGAAGGCTTCCAGCCCCATTCCTGACAGCCTGCGCGGGGCCTGGCTCGCTGCCCGCTGGCGCCACGCATGCTAATGAGCCTGCCTTCAGACTTCCCCAGCCCTGGCTGAGGCTTTGTGGCTTCATTAGCAAGGAGCGAGCTTCCAGGCACGGATGCCCAGGGAAAACAAAGGCGCTGCCGAGTTGTTTTCGAAAGTCTTCCCAACCTGTCTGTCTCCCAGGCCTCCACTC